GCTGCTCTCGCCCTCGGACGGCCGGGGCTCCCCGCAGTGCATGGGTGCGGGCCCGGGGGGCTGAGCAGCCGCGCCACCCCCGCGCCATGGAGGGCGCCGAGCCCCGCGCGCGGCCCGAGCGTCCGGCCGAGGCCGAGGCCGAGGCGCGGGCGGCCGACGGCGGGCGCCTGGTGGAGGTGCAGCTGAGCGGCGGCGCCCCGTGGGGCTTCACCCTGAAGGGCGGACGCGAACACGGTGAGCCCCTCGTCATCACCAAGGTAAGGCGGCCGCGGTGCCGGGGCTTGTCGGGGTTGGGGCGCCGGAGGGGGCGGCCCGCTCGTGCCCCCGGATCTGGGGCGCGCGTCTGTCGGGGTCACCTGCGGGCACCTGGTCGCCGGTACACGCGTAGGTGTGTGGTCCTGGCGTCGCTCCGGCCGCCTTGCGGCGGCTCCCAGAGGCTCGCAGAGTTTAAATGGCTCTTGTTCCGGGTCTCCTTCCCCTCCCCCTCCGGGAAGGGGCCTGGCGGGGTCCTCTGTCACTCCCGGGCTCGCCGGCAGCGGTCTGCACCTGCGGGGCTGCCCAGAGGTTAGGGGCGGCATATTTCCACGAGCCAGGGGGTGAATGGAGCCGTCCCTACCTATGTTCGTCCTCCTGGGTGCCACCCTGGTTCTGCACCCCTTGGACCTGCATCCCTTATCACTGCGAAACCCAGATCAGCAGCTGTCGCCAACCCAGCTCTCGATTCCCTCAGCCCATCAATATTTACTGACTTTCGGCTTCGAGCCCTGGATACACCGCGCACTGATACTTGCAGAAATTTACAGGAACCGTAAAGCGTACTTTGTAAAAGTTGGACTGGAATTCCAATAGTAAGAAATTTTTGGTGTGTCTCATCAGGAATGGGGCGTGTGTGTGTGTATGTGTGGGGTTTGCTTTAGAACACTGAATTCTCTAATTGTGTCAAAATTCCTCTTGAAACTGACCAGCCGAACCTGTATGAACCTGTAAACACAAACACAGAAACAGCGATCGAATCACGCTGTTTTCTTCTGGTTAAAAGTGTCTAGTGGTCAGTTTCTTTGGGAAGGGTTGAGTCGGGTCATTCCTAGGGACAGAGTTCTCTTTTAAATGTAAAAAGTCTTGGCAACTAGAAGCGTTTGAAGGTGACTTACTGGTTTTCTTTGCTTTCCTGCCTCGCCACAGCAGGAAGAAATTAAGTGACTAGCCCTCCCCACTACTAATCAATTTGGGAAGTGAGAAGGCTTTGTTCAAATAGCCCATGACACAGCAAACTTTGCTATTCTGTATTTTCTCTCGTTTTATATTTACAAAACCTGAGGCTTGTTTAGCTGTGTGCTAAGTTTATGTTGAACTTGGGAAACAAGTCGTCGTTGTTGTTATGAATTTAACCAATGTGCAATCCTTTATCTAATTGGATTCTTTGAAAAGGCAGGGGGCAGTCATAAAGTGTGTACATTTTGCCCAGCCAAGGCACTCTTCTGCATATTTCTTAAAACATATTAGCGTGTGCCTTTTTAATAAAGATTTTAGGGGCCATTTCTGATGGTAACAGATAAAAAGATTTCCCATAAATCACTCAGGTTGTCACCATTTCGTGGATTTCTTAAAAAAATAAAAAGATATATACATGATTCCACACTTCTTCCTCAGACTCATCTTTATAGCAACTGGAAGAAACTGTAAAACATTATTTAAGGTGAAGTCTTGCTTTTTGGCCTTGTCCAGTATAAGAAAGTTGAGAGTCACTTTAAATTCTAAAGTTCAGTTGTTTCACCAGAAGCTGGAAGGAAGGACCCCAGAGTCCCTCCTCCTTTCTCCAGGTACCCCAAGTTTTAAAAATTCTCGTGTATTCTTAGAGGCCTCCTAGTTCGCCCTGTCTGAAAGGCTGGAATTCTAGAAATGGAAGGGGGTAGATTGTGACCCCCAGCAGACACAGCCAGGGCCTTTCAGAGAGCAGCTGGGGCCGTTTGCTCCTGATTTGGATTCCACCCTTTGGTTTGCTCTCAGGGCAGTTGCTAAGGTGTTTTGGGGACGTTTTTGTGGCTATGCTAGGAGCAGTGTATGTAGTAGGCTTTCCAGATTGTGCCTCAGGATTTTGCAGAAATAAAGATTCTGAGATACTGATAAATCCGTCCCTTAAACTGATGCTTAATTTTTATATATGCTCCAATATGACTGGAAAATTGTGGTTTTGCTGCTTAGGATGGAGGAGATTCAGGACAACTTTGGACTTTTGTACTAAATTTCCCAGCATACATATGTGTATGTGCACACATGTGCTCACACATGCGCTTAACCACGTCTTACTGCATAGCATGAGCAGTATTTCACATATCTGTCTTTTCTCCTGGATTAAGATCATTGGCGGTGCTTACCTACAATCTGACAGCTGGTAATTGTCACATTATTAGAAAAAGATGAAGGAAAACACGTCCATTTATGACCATTTAAAGAGTGGAAATAGACTAGGGAAAATTGTCTCACCACCAGAATTTGGATTGTTGCAAGCTTTGAATCTTTCTCTTCCAATAGCTACTGAAAAGTCACTGGGGCTCATTACATAGTAATTCTTCTGAAAGTTTTTTTTTTTTTTTACACTTAAAAAGCCTTCTGATAGTTACATATTACAACTCACTTTCTGTTTAGCAGATTCTGATTTGGGGGTAGTTTGAGCCAATGGAAGAGGACGAGGACACGTTCTCTTTCTGACACCGAGAGTATCATTAAAAGGTGCACTCACAGGAGTGCGCCTCTCACAGCTGCGAGGGGTGTCAGGAACAAGTCTGGTTCAGTCCCGATCTTCAGGTAGAGAGGTTTTATTAGCTCATTTTGTAGATGAACCGGCTGTGGCCCAGGGTGGTTAAATGGTGTGCCCTGAGGTCGCAAGCCTGTTCGGTCCTGGAAGGGGCCCTGAGAATCAGATCCTGGTCCCAAATGTCCGTTCCCACTCCTGGTTGTTGCCATCTGCTCTGCTCGGTCCGCGATCTCTTATGTGCCACATTGAATAGCTTTGGCACATCTGTTGGGTGAGGGTTTGTCGGCCTTGGCCCTGTTTACATTCTGGGCTGAACCATTCTTTGTTGTGGGGGCTGTGCTGTGCTTTGTGGGGTGTTCAGTGCTTTCCTGGTCTCTGCCTATTTGGCGCCACTGGCTCCTCTGTCCAGGTGTGACGACCAAAAAACGTCTCCAGACATTGCCAGATGTTCCCTGTGGGCAAAATCACTCTGGTCGGGCATCGGTTTCGTTAGATTAACTGTCTCACCTTTGCTCTTAAAGATTTTTGATTTTAGAGGTCATGTTTAATTCTTTTTGAAGACACTGGCCTTTAGGATGATGTGAGTTTGGAGGTCTCTGGCATTGCCAGTGTTTGCTTGGAGGCCTGTTTTTTTCCCTAGCGTTGGCCCTGAGAGTAGGCTTTATTTACATAGTAAAACTCAAACAAATACTTGCTTCATCTGCATTTTTGTAGCTGGAGAAAGGAAATTGAAGTAGGAACTCCCAGTGCTGTGCTTTATGGGTGTTCAGAGTGGCTGTTGGGTGAGGACTAACTTTTCCCTGGGTCCAGTTTGAAGTTAAAGAGATGCTAACTTCAGGGGAGCAGCACTCTTGGAATTTGAGGTGCGTGCATGAAGCCCTGCGAGATCTCCGCTGAAGGATGGCAACAGGATTTGTACCTACTCGGTACATTTCTGCTGATTTGTAGCTTGAAATTTTGCTGTAGTTAGTGAAAAAATACACACAAAGCGATTCTTCCTAGCTGCTGTTAGAAAGGGAGCAGGAATCATGTCCAGGTTGTAGGAAACTGTGACGGTTTCCCAGGCTGCATGGTGGTTGACGTGGGCCCTCTCGGGACCTGTGTGGGTAGGTGTGGTGGGTATATGGGATCCTGACGGTTTTTGCACGTTCCAGTCCCCATCAGTTCAACCAGTGGAAAACTTCAGTGGGGGGTCGGGGAGGGGGCTGATTTCTAAAATGTCAGCGGAGTGGCTGGAATGCCACAAAGCTGTTTGGGGGATTCATTAGGAAGCATTAAATCCACCAGCTGGGTGTCAGCAGGCCCCCTGCAGCCTCAGGAATGTCTGTTAAGGGAGGGAAGGAATGAAGCCTCAGCTCCCCGCTACACCATGTTTTAGAAGAACACCTCCCCCCCCCCCAAAGAATGCTAAAAGCCTTAGCCAGAAGCTCCAAAGAAGACATTAATTTGAGCCAGGCCTAGCCCCAAGGTTGCCTTTGGGGAACAGAGCCATCTTGTAGGGGGTCAGGGGTCAGGATTGCTATGGCCTGGGATGCTTGGGGGTCCCCACACATGACTCACCCTTCCTGGGCGGCTTCAGAGTGTCAGAGCATTTTGTTAGCTGTGGACAGAGCCTTGTGACGTCCTTTCTAGTGTGAATGCCAAAGGTGGAATCAGGACACATTTTGGGGGCTACATGGCGAGGTCGCAGATGTCCTATGTAAAGCTTTAGCTGGAGTGAGTGGTAGCAGAGAGCTCAGGGCACAGACCAGAGGTTGGTGATGTGGGGGGATGGGGGCCCTGCACACCTAATGCACCTTCCTTAGTCGTTTGAAAAGGTGGCTTCATCATGTGTGGCCATTGTGCCAAGTCATGGTCATTGGTGACTTGGGGATTGGGAGGGCACAGTGACAACTCTGGTCAGGGTAAGTTGTACCCTATGTCCTTATATAATATTTGTCCCCAAGAGCCAGTCAAGTTCTTCATCAAATATCAGTAGAGTTTTTGAAAAAAGAGGGAGCCCTTGAGTTCAGCAGTACATCAGGAACTGGTGGCTGTAAACTTTGTGGTTGCTGGTCGATGTCTGTGTTTAAACACGGTGCTCAGTCAGTGTCTGCACAGAGAATGCTGCTGCTTTCCCAGGTGTCTGAGAACTGGGGGGGTGGGTGAGGGCTCAGGGGCCCCCCTGCCTCGGCCAGCCCTGGGTGCTGTGGCCGCAGTGACTCCTCCGAGTTGTAAAATCCTGGTCACTGTCTGATGACACCTACAGTGTTTTCACGAATTACTTAGGGTGACTGTAATTCTGAAGACTCATTTGTGTTTAAGAATTATTAATAATAGTATGGTTAAAAAACAAGAGGTGTGTTTTCTTTCCTGTGCTGAAAGACCCTTTCAGTTGGTAGACCTACCTTGCCAACTGGCTTTCAGATATATCTTTATTACCATTTCTCAGCCTGCAAATTAACTTGGCCCTGCTGAATTCTAATCCTTGTTCCTCCAGAGATGTTTTCGGCTTGAGGGTGG